CAACAAACCAATTAACACGGAACAAGATTCTTCCATTGCCTTTTCTACTTGTTCCCTTGCAATGGTTAAGATTCACTCTCAACAGAATCTAACGTCTTAAATCACATTATTAAAAAAATTTAAAAGTAAAAAGTAATTTTTAATTTTTTTAATAAAATAATATGAACTATTGAATTCTCTTATGCTGTGTTTGGTTGGGAGATTTGGGGAGAGATTTAGAAAGGGAAAGAAAAAATATGTGTAAAACTAGGTGAAATATAGATATATTTTATTCACATTTCACCTACCTTTTTCATTTCCCTCTTCAAATCTCTCAACCAAACACAATATTAAAAATATAAATCTTGACCATTGTAAGAACAAAGGGTGGTTGAGACACCAATAAGAGCATCCTTGCACTCCTTGTTCAATAATCTTGTTGATTCCCATTCAATCATGATTCATACACAAACTCAATTCAGCTTAACCACTCCTTATTTCAATTTTTGACTTTTTTCACCACATTGTCGGATTCATGCCCATAAAAGTGTAAACTATACGTTTTATGTTAGTTGTCTAGGTAATTGCATGTATACATGCCTCAAAAGTATCTATTATATTTATCTTTGTTACACATTTTTTTTGTAGTTATGTTATGTATTTTTATGATGAATGTTACATATTTTTTTCTGCTAGAGTCGCGATAATTTGTTGTTAAAAAATTAAGTTATACATTTTATAGTAATGTTACACATTTTTATGATAGTGTTACGCATTTTTTAACAAAAAAATACATAATATTATTACAAAAATACATAATATTATCATAAAATACATAACATTATTTTTGAATCACAAATTATCGTAATTTTATTAAAAAATTATATAATATTTAATACAAAAATACATAGAGGTGGTTTGAGATGTTCTAAATAAGTGTACTTTTTAACTTTTTATGAAATATGAGTTAGGTTTGAGTTGAGTTTGAAGTGATGTGGTAGAAAGATAATGTAACTTAAATAAGATGATGTGACTTAAATAAGATAATAAATTTTTAATTTTTTTAATACATGACAAACAAGGCCATAATATAACGCAAAAACACAAAACATGATGCGTACGATACACACACGAGGTATGTCATATCTTTATTTTTTTATTTGGATTTGAGAACAGCTCTGTGTAAGAGATAAAACATTAAACACATGCTACACAAAAATATTATATTTCAATCATGCTTATAGGCCAAATTGGAGTTCATCCAAGTTATCCATTCATAAGTTTTTAACCAAGATGGACATTCAATTATACAAAATTGAGTTAGTCCAAGTTATTTATTCATAAGTTTTAAGTTATTAACCATAAAGGGTGTATTTGTTTGAACGAATTGGATGAGGGATTAGAATTCATCAGATTGTAATCCTAAAATTCATAGTCTTGGGATTATTTGATTGGATAGAATATGTATCTTATGTTTGTTTAGTCATGGGATTAGATGTTAGGAAAAAATTATTTGGTTGGATATAATATGAATCCTATATTTGTTTGGAATATTATAAAGAAGAATAAATGTTCAAATGACTATTTTACCCTTTTAAATTATTTACTAAGTAATAGCAATATTAAACATATTTTTAATATTTTAATTATTTTTAGCTAGATTAAATAAAATTTTATTTTATTTTATTTTATGTTTTACACAATTAAATAAATTTATTTTTTTAAAATTAAATAATTTAAATATCAATAAAAATATATGTTATTTTTTAATTAAAATTTTAAATAAATTTATTTTAAAAAATAATAATAATTAAATAACGAAATTAAATAAAACATCTATTAAAATTTCAATAATGAAATTGAATAAAATATAAACAATATTTTAAAATAAAGCATCAATAAAATATCTATAAAAAATTAAATAAATAAAACATCAACAAAAAATTTAATTTAATTTTTTTTTGTAAATTTAGACATTTAAATTTTATTAAATTTTACTAAATATAACACATAATTAAATAGTAGAGGGTCAAATAGCCATTTCACTACTTAATCTCATATCCCCCTTATCCCCCATTTGTGTCCCCCTCCCCAGGGACACAATAATCCAACACATTTGGGACTAATAGTTCAGAGGAACTATTAGTCCGGAGCAATATTGGAAAATCAAACAACGGATATAAATCATATCCCACCCTCTAAACATATCTTACCCTCCAATCCCTTCAAACAAATAACACCAAATGATATTTGGCAAGTCAACTTTTAATACTATGTTTGTAAATTGAATTTGTGGAAGAAAATGATAAGGAATGAGAAAACACACGAAATGAAATGAAGGCCCAATTTGATAATTGGGTCATTTCATCATAATTATTATATTTTTAAAATCATACATATCACTTATATGTTTGATAAAATATGATTATCACTACTAAAAAAAAATACTTTTTGCGACCGCCACAAGCCGTCGCAAATAATAAAAATACAGTCGCAAATAATTATTTCTTAAAAAAAAAATCATATACGGGTTTGCTACAACAAAAAAATCAATTACAAGCACCAAACAATTTTTTGTTAATGAAAAATAACAAAATTATCAAATTAATTAAATTTATAATAGACATTATCCATTAACCATCCTTAAATACATTGTACTAAAAAATTCAAGTCTTCAAAAAAAAAAAAAAAAGAGCAACATAATCTTTGGCTCCCAACATCACCCGCTCGATCATATCAACTATTCCCTCAACAAAATCTGCAAAAACATATATCAAACTCAACCAGGTGCCTTCATACTATAAAATGCTATGTAGTTAAACACAATATAAATTCAAAGAGATAGCCATTCTTCAAAGAGGGAAATCCCAACTATTGAAATTCTGAAAATAAAATAATATATGAGTTAAGAGTTTATTGGGGCCAACTGAAAATAAAAAGTTACTAAATCTTTTGAAACCAAACAGACTCGTCAAAAAAATGTAATAACATAATTAAATATATATTTTTTAAATTCCTTCATTTTGTCTTTAAAAGTGTAATTTTTGCAAGGTGATCCACAATCTATAAAATGCTAGTCTACAGGAGTAAATCCAGTAGAAAACCAGAACAGAGACAATATGATACCCAAATCAAAAATTCAAAATTCAAAATTTCCACAACCCATCATCAAAAACCTATAAATTATAGTAGGTTCTTCAATCTTAGTTCCAATTGGGCATCTAGGATTTTTTTATACAACAACAACAGCAGAGAAACTCGCAGTATCCAAAAAAACAGCACAAAAACTATCAAATACCCATTAAAGAGAAGCGAAGAAAGAAGAGAAAAGAGTGCACCTTTGAGATCATGGGAGCTCCAATAAAGAGAGCCTCAAATTTGAAATGAGAAAGCCAAAAGAATGTAGGGTTTGAATACTAAAGAGCTTGTTACAACAGCCGATGATGTGGCTAAGCAGGGTGAGGTTGAAGTCACTGGGCATGGAGAAGTTGCTGGTGACCAAGGGAATGGCATGATAGCTTAGTATTGATATGCCAGGTCGACCAAGGTTGATGGAGGCAAGTTCTGAATAATAGAACCACATAGCTGTGAGGTATGTTGTTTTTCTAATAATTATCAAACTCAGGCAATGAAAGACACACAAAGCGTTGGGGATGTTGGAAGAAGGCAGAAGGGGACCAAATTCAACGAGTCTTTTTTGGATGTCCAATGGAGAAAAGGGAAGAAAAATGGGTGAGATTATTAAGTAATTGGGAAAAGGAATGAAGAAACCAAAGTTGGTTTTGGAGAGTCCTTCCAGGAATGTGGTGGTCTGTAATTACTCTACAAGCATGACGTCTCTAATACAAGATTAGTAAACCAAATAGATAATTGTATGGTATGGGTAAGGGCAATATGAGTCTAATTAGGAATACAAAATGTGATTAGTAGGGAAAAAAAGGTCAAAAGCTTGAAATACATTTGGACTTTAGGTCACTAAGTTCCCATTCCTCAATAATTTTTAGTTATATAACTATGAGAGTCCGTGCAAGTCATGTGTACAAAACTAAGTGCATCAAAATTTATAGAAATTCTGATTGAAATCTTTTCCAGGTTAAGCAGTTTGCTTATCACATTGAGCAAGCTGGAATGACTATTAAACTGATTTGAGAAATGGATGAATGATCATATGCATATTAACAATCTAAGCAAGCACGGTAATTAAATGATCAACACCAACAAATCAATGTACTTGAGGATATCAGTGAATATTAATAAGAAAAGAGACTAAGATCTAGTACACTACCAAACTATTAACTTATTTATGAGTAAATTACACTAACCTCCCTGAGGCTTCAAGAAAATATAGTAAACCCCCCATAGTTTTGGCATTATTACATTGGGTTTCCTTGAGTTCTTGCTAATGCTTACCTCATGCATGAATGGCACTAGCATGAAAATTTTAAATCTAAAGAGGGAAAAAAAACTAGCTACAAGAAAGCAAATTGTGCTAGCAAAAGATGAAAACATTTATTAAAATAAAATTGGCAGATTAATGATAAGATGGCACTTCTTATTGGTTGAAATCTCACCTGAGCACTGCCTCCTTGCTACACCAAGTAACAGATAATCAAAACTCAAGAATAATACAGTGCAACTTCAGTAGAAATTTGGAGACATGTGAAACAAAAGAGAATGTTACAAAATCCAACCTTAGAAACACGAGCGCAAGTGAATGGATTGATATTCCAATAGCGAATTTCATTGTTACTATCACAAAAACATAAAAGATCGTTCTTCTTGGGATGGAAATCCAGGGATATAACATGATTAGGGTGCCCGGTGTATGCATTTAAACAATAACTTGGCTGCAAAAATAAGCCCAATAAGTGTTTGTGGTGGTAATGATAAATAAATACAAACTTCATACATTGCAAATTTTAGGTTACCAGAATGTGAACAGCAGAAGCGCGACTTGTAAATGCAAGAATTACAAAGATTATCGTAAAAGAGAGGGTATAGACAATTACGTTAGCCGCATCCTACAATCGCAGAGACTTGTCAAATGACGCTGTTGCTAGCTGAGACGAATTTGGCCTAAAACGTACATCTGTAATCAAATATTGGTGTTCTTCCGGTGTGATTTCTGTTTTCAGTGTATCCATACTCCAGAGGACAACCTGATGCATGTAACAGGAATAATTAACCATAACGCCTTTTGGATTAGCGCTTCTTATCTATGCTAACATTACTTTTACTCTAAGGTATGCTTATTTATTTTTTAATGTATGTATTTTGCCTTCTTGTCATGTCCAGCACTAGCTAGCAACTTCCCATCTGAAGAAAAATGACAGCAGGTAACTTTATTCCTTGTCCTTATACAACCAACTTCCCCAAAGGAAAAACCTGAAATGGAGAATTTGACCATTTCTTAGTACTATTCAAACAGTTAGGTCAAACATAGCACACACAAAATACAACAATTGATTACCCTTAGAAGACTCTGTTTTATGCTTAGTAAGACCTGGTTTTAAGGTGCCATACAGATCTCTTCCCTCTCCTCCATCATGCGACAGAAATGAATCCATATTATCATCCAGAGAACCGACATCTCCAAAATGTTCTATGTCTTCCTGCACTAATAATCAATGTTGAGCTTCATGTTACACAGAAACTTCATCCATGAGACAGATTCATTCAATACAGACTTCATGTCAATGTCAATGCTAACAGATCAATCAACTAGAAAATCCAATCAGCATGATCAACGAACTAATTTAATATCACATATAAATCAAGCAAATTCAACACTAGGACTTTTTATCTTCCAAATTCAAATTTATCAGTTCTTGCCTCAACAAATTCAAAATTGCCGATAATAAATGAAATCTTGATTTCAAGTTAAAAACAATAATGTACTACTCATTATAATGTATTGAAGAAGAAATTAAGAGATATACACTAATAGATATGGAAAATGCAAGAAAATAGGGCAAGAATAAGATGAGTTGAACCAGTACATACCTGTACGAGGATGAGACGAATTAGTCGAACCAGAGCTTCCTCGTATGATATGTATGTGTAGATAGATAGATAGAGAGAGAGAGAGAGAGAGGGATTGGGGGCGAGATTGAGAGAGAGATTCATACCGCTGGAGATCTTCAGATGACGATGACGAGCGAGAGAGCAGAGCTGTACAAGTCTGTTGAATGCGTGCGATAGAGAGAGAGAGAGAAAGAGAATGATCCGCCATAGATCTTTAGAGCTATTTGTCAATTCTCTCTCTAGAATCATCTAGAACACAAGCTATCAGAGATATATACACAAATATATGCATGTATATAAAGAGAGAGAAAGAGACCTGGAAGAGGTTGAGGAGGGCAGGGGCAAAGGCGAGGCAGCCGAAGGAGAGAGAAATGTTACTGGCGACCTAAGAACTGAGAGCTTCGACGATTGATTTAAGACATAGAGAGAGAGAGAGGGGAACGATATCAATGTTTGTGAAATAGGGCTAGGGCAATTATAAGGAAAAAAGGAAGAAAAAATAAATATAAGGAAAATTATGACGTCACGGTTCGACCGCTTTGACCCGACGGTTGAACCGGTGACCCGTCCACCCGGTCCCTTTTCCGGTTCGCTCACCGGTCCGGTTTTGAAAACATTGCTTATATGTTTGATAAAATATGATTATGGATTAATCTTTTTCCTTTTTTTTTTTCTCTAAAGAAAAAGAAGAAGAATGATTTACACATAACAATAGAAGATGAACAATTAGATTATAAAAGTGAATTCTCTGGTGGGGCTGATGAGCCAATAACAATAACATGGTTCAATGTGAACCGGATACAGGTAATTTCCTAAGTTTAAACAATTTTGTTAAAAACACAAAAATCAAACACTAAATACATTTTTTTTTTTTTGAAACAGAAACACTAAATACATATGAATGAATATTTATAGAATTTATTGGTGGAACTCTCAATTTTTTTTTTAATATGTTTATATACATATAGGGATTATTTGGAAATGCTAGATTAATATACTTTTTGACTTTTTACACACAAAAAAGACATAAAATATGGGTTGAATTTGAAATGATATGACAGAGAAATGTGATCCAAATAAAATGATTGTGACCTAAATAAAATAATATTTTAACATATACCAAACAAAGCCTTAGTATCCAGTTTCGTGATCGATTTCTATATTCTTAAACTTATTCAAATTTAAATGGATGTAAGCCAATAATATCATCACTTAATTCTGTACTCCCTAACATGATATCTCATGCCCAGACATCTAAACATTACAAATGGGGAGAAACAGTCACATAAATATATAAATGTAATTTTTATTTTGCTATTTTTGTTTTGGACTATTTCACTATTCTTCTATGGATGATAAGTTCCAAGCTCACAATGATGAATCAACACAAATAGACAAAAGCACCAAAATCACAACTTAAAATTGCCTTTTCAATCAATGGGGGCACTAGCAGTAGTTGTGGGCTGTGGCACTTCCATGCACCAAAGGTTTTATCCAATATTTATTTTTGGTCAATGAGACGTAAAAGTTTCATAACCTAAAAAATATGACTTTTTTGATAAGTTTTGCAATAACAAGTCCAAGGAAAAATTATTGAAATACCACTAAATATACACGCAACCAATTCAAAGCCGGCTTGGCTGACCACCGACCCTTTTAAAAACACCACAGCCAACAAACCCTAGACTTTCTCAATAGTCAATCTTCCTCTTGTATATATTTAACCAATCTTTCTCTCTTACCCTTTATCTAAAAACACATTGAATCACATACCCATCTTCTCTTTCTTCTCTCTCCCCTCTCTTTCTCTCTCATGGGCAATGCAATTTCTCCATGTTGTCAACCGAATTCGAATCCAGTAGTGAAGCTAATATTTTGGGAAGGAACAACTAGGGTTTTAACCGGAAAACGGCTAGCCGGAGAGATCATGTTTGAGTTCCCGGACCGTATGGTTTGCCACGCAGACTCATTCTTCATCGGTCACCCAATCCCTTCGCTTGGCATCGATGATGAACTCATGACCGGTCAAACCTACTTTGTTCTACCCCTTGATTGCTTTGCATGCAACGTGCTCTCGGCTTCTTCTCTCGCTGCATTAGGGTCTAGCCCTAGACGTGCACCGGTGAATTTCAAAGACAGCCCTTTCGAGCACATAAAGGGATCAAATGGGAGAGTTTTGATCAGAGTCATGCCTGAATTCATAGTAAAGCTCATTACAAGAGGTAAGGAATTATGTCCAGAGTCCGGTAGCGGTAGCCCTAGCCATAGTTTTCTTTGTAGTACGCCGGAGTTGAAGAAGCACTATGATCAGCTTGTTGGGTCTAAAGATATGGTATGGTCACCCAAGCTTGAGACTATTTCCGAAAACAAGATTAGGTTTTCACCATGTAGATTTATAGGGTTGGAATGGAAACAAAAAAAGAGTCAAAGGTAGTTGTTGCATTCTTTGTTTTGATGAAGAATGTTTTTGTTTTCTTCTCTCATGGTGAAATTTAAATAGATGATGATGATGATGAAATACAGATGCCTATCTAGTATTTGATCTTTTCAAGTGTTTTTTGACACTAGGTTTATAAATTTGTACAAAAAAAATCCTATTCGAAGCATTATTGAAAGAGTTGTTGGTCAAAATGTTGGTTAGTGTATGAAATTAAGAACCATTTGGATGGATTTATGTTTTATATTAGAAGGCCCCATGCAATCATATATTCTCTGTAAATTTTTTGAAAAATATTTTTGGTTTGAAATATTGTAATACTCTAATCCGGCATTCTCTATTTAACAGCATGACTCTTTACAGATCTCTATACTCATCATAAAGTAACCAATTTAATAGAGAGGTGTTGTTATGCCAATGGTAATGATAGTAAAATCTTGATCAGTATGTGAAATTAAGAACCATTTGGATGAATGATATGTTCAGTTCTATTTTATATCCATAAAAATTACTCAGAACTGAAATACTTGGAATTCATTTTGCATATGACCGACAATACACTTTAAATCTACGCCTTCTAATTCATTTTCATGATAGCTAAACGTTTAAGACCCATAAAAAAAAAAAATTTACAACTTAATCCACAATGATATGGCATGATATATATCAATTTTTGATTTGTCATGTAATCAATTATGGGACACTTTGGGAAGAGGTTAAAAAAGTCAATTTTTTAGTATTTGAACTTTTTTAGCCAAAGAAGCGAACTTTTTTGCTAAAAAAGTCACAAAAAAAGTCAAAAAGCTAAAAAATTAATTTTTTACCAACTTTTCAAAACACCACTATATAAGGCCTACCTCTCTTGTCATATTATTGTAAATAAATTTAGAAATTCAAATTATGAGTATGTTCATGACAAAATTCTGATTAAGTCTTTATAGTGCTATGATTTAAATTGAAAGGTCCCATTCAATCATATAATCCTCTATAATTGTTTTTTATATATATATATATATTCCTAGTACTCTATCCAGTACACGAATCTTTTTAAATCCCTATAATTATCATAAAAGAACCAATTTAATAGAGTCGGGTTGGCTTGGGGTGTATTAAAAAAGTACACTTTTTATTTTTTATCTTTTTTTTTGAGTCAGATCATCTCTCTACTTCTCTACACATTTTTTTCGTAAAAAATCAAAAAGTAAACTTATTTAGATTATTCCAAACAAAAGAAAATGGAGTACAAAAATAATGAAATAGGAATAGCCCATATGTCATAAGATCATTTGGGTACCATTATGTTCTGGATGAATTTATGAGTTTTTAATATTTTTTTTTGAATTCATAAAAAAATATGGTGCATAGTTTTTCTCAACAGATAAATGTAAAATAAATACTAAAATAATTCTTCCATCTAGAAAAAAATTTATCAAGATACTTAACTAATAAAGAAGCAAAAGAAAATACATATATATACAAATGATTAATTTTATTAATACATAAATCATACTCACATATCAAATGACTAATTTTATTAATAAGTAAATCAACAATTTTTTATGATAAGAAAAATATTTTTAAGTTAACCATTTTGTTAATAAATAAATCATTAAATCAATTAATAGTTTTTAATGATATGAAAAATATTTTTAATAAAGTATTTTGATAATTTATTATTGCATAATAGTTTTTTTCTCAAGTATTGTGTTAAATTAAAATTTATAACAAACGACAGTTGTTATTTCTAATATTATAGTGTATTTGTAATTTATTAAAAAATAAAAGATTTATTAAAAATTTAGAAATCTCCTAAATATTGATTTTTGATTATGTATTAATTTTAACCAGTAAATAACAATCCTAATCAAACAATCAAGGCAAATTGACACAATGATTTTAACGTGAAAAAATCACAATTAGAGCACCTTCAATTGTGATAAAAAAAATCACGGGCAAAAGCCACAAAATAATCCACTAAGAAGATAAAAGGAATTACATAAGTGTATTCTCAATTACCTAGCAAATCCACACTCGATTTGAACTGACCCCTATGTGCCTCTTCCAACTCCGTCTTCATCTCGAAATTGTCTTGCCCAACGTTGAATCCACAACGCCGATGTCGAATCTACTGTGGTGAGCCACTCCAGAATCCACTAAAGCTTCTAGCCCAAATTCTTCGAAATTCACTGAAGAACAACACTCTCTTTTATATTGAATAAATAAAACAAACAAACCCTTTGATATAATCCATTCAATTCATGATTAATCTCTCACTAATATCAAAGGAAATAAGCAAAGAAACTCCAGATAAAAACCCTAATGCTTAAGAAGAAGATCTGGAAGTCGTACCCTAAAATCAAACCAAAACACATATTTATAGAAAACAGAGCTCGAGCGGCCAGCTCGAGTGCAAGAATGGCCGCTCGAGTGGATTGACGCTCGAGCGCAGGAAGTTCCGCTCGAGCGCAAAAACACAACTTTTAGTACTTTTGCAGACAATTCAAACTTTTAGAACTAAAGATTCACTGCTCAGCGCACAAATGGCTGCTCAAGCGGACAAGCAACTTCGACTACATTTTTACTTTTTGCTTTGGGGCGCTACCTCTCAACCCCGTCTAGGCGTTGTCTCAGACCTGCCAAGGGACGCTGCCCCCTAGACCCCTGCGAGCTGACCGGGTAGCTCGATCCCTGACATCGTCAACGAAGTGGCAAACATAAAAGAATTAACTCCTGAAACATCTCTGCAAGGCACAATTCGAGTTGGATTCACATCTAAAACTCATGACCTCACTTAAATACAAGATCGAATAAAATTATAATTGAAAGGAGTTTTGTCAAATGTGATTGCCAAGAATGAAAACCTAACATGTTTCATAATTGACCAAAAATGTTTGCGTAATTATAAAAAAGCTTGTTATATAATTGACCAAGAATATTTGTGTAATTACGAAAAAACTTGTTGCATAATTCATCAAGAATATTTGTGTAATTATGAAAAAAATGTCACTCAACATATATCCTACCATTAGTAAATTACTCAAAATAAAAGGGCAAAATGAGAAAAAAAAAAAGAAGAAGAAGAAGAAAAGAAAAGAAAAAGAAAAAAAAGAAGACGAATTTCAAACAATTAAGCGATTCTTATATATATAGATATATACTTGACGTGGTTGGCATACTCAATACGTGCATCAATATTGTTTTGGGTAAATTAGGACAGCAATTTCTATATTTTAGATTTTATATTATTTTGATTCTTATAATTTTACTTTATTTCTTTTTTATCATGAATTTATGATTTTATCTCAATTTAATCTAATTAATTACAATTTTTAATTAAAAAAAATACGCACATAAGTATTATATATCATATTTTTAAAGGTGAAATTATAAATTTAATCAATTTAGAGAGTTAACTTCAATCAATTTAATGATAAATTTTCATAAAAAATATTAACGATATTATTAATTGAATTAAATTGACATAAAATCTAAAATTAAAGTCAAAATTAAATTAATTAAAAATATAAGAACCATTAACATAATTTTTTTTTAATTTTGTCCAAAATCAATTCACTACCCACCCTTACCTCTATTTCTTCTCCCATTTATCCACTAGCACTGATCAGGGTAGCTCAAGTACCAAAAAAAAAAACAGAAAAGCGTTGCAGAGTTTTAAAAAATGCTCATACTGTTTTATAAAGTTAAAATTTTAATTTTTTAAGTTAAAAAATTGTTTAAAAATTTAAGTATTAAATTAAAAAAAATATTTAATATGTATAAAATTAAATTTAAAATTTATTATTTGCAAATTATATATTTTAATTTTTATATTGTGACAGTGGTGGTGGTGGTAGTGGTAGTGATATTATGATGGTGATTCTGACGGTGGGGGTGGTGGTAGTAGTAGTAGCAATGGTGGTGATAGTGGTGAGTTTATGAGAGTGTATATCAACACTTATGTTTAAAATTTATAAATTCAATCAGAATTAAATAAATTTCACATGACTTAATTTTTTTTTTCAAGTTTTACCTTACATTTTAGAATACACTTAAATTTTTAAGTAATATCAATTATAATTATCAAATAGACTTAATTAATTAATCACTTAATATATTTAATTTTAAGTGCTGAAGTTGTCAAACACATCTAAATGTGGTGATGAATTATATAATTTATGTATACATGTAGAATAGTTATTTGATAATAGAAATCTTATGATATACACTCCTGGAAGGATTTCTACCATATGCACTTTAATATATATTTTTGTAGTGTATGTTATATTTTTTTGTGATAAATATTATATATTTTTTATAAGAATTATGACAATTTGTGATTGGGAATAAAATTATGCTTTTTGTAGTAGTGTTACGCATTTTTATAATATCGTTACATATTTTTTTATTCAAATATTTTCTAATCAGAAAAATACATAATTTTATTTCTCAATCATAAATTATCGTAACTCCTACCAGAAAAATAAGTAACATTTATCACAAAAATATGTAACACGCACCACAAAAACATGTAACAAGATGCATATAGTGTTCCCTTAAAACAATACATGGGAGATAAGAACTTGGAATTGGTGCTATCCCTTATAACTATAACACCGTGTTGTGAGCTTTTGAAGGTGTGTTTTAAATTTATTTTAATAATCTGAATTGTTTGTAGTGTACGGTTTGTTGAGTAAATCATTCATAAAAAAATTCAAGTTAATTAGACGTTTGTAATATACAACAAGACCACGCTTATGTTTAGGAACAATAAATGGTTAGTGTGATTTTAATAATTTTTTATGTAATTATTATGCTTGATTATGGGATTATACTTTTTTGATTGAATTCATTTTTTTATATGAATGATATATTTAATGAATCTTATAATATGAATGACTCGGATCATTAAAATATGGTCCGAATAAACTACACCGGGTGTAACAGCATGGGTGTTGTCACAGCACCCACCCCCAATCCGGGAGATAACAGGTAGTAGTTGCTCAAAGTTTTTGGGGACTTCGATCTTTTCCATTCCATATATGTGATAAAGGAATTCCATTACATATCTAATTGTTATGAAATATGAATATAAATTTATTATTAGTTTAAATTAAAAAAAGAAAAGAACTATTACATTCACTATTAGATGATATAATGGAACTTCTCAATTATAAAATGGAACTTCTCAATTATAAATATATAATGAAGAGGATCATAATATGTTTTTTTGGAGGTCTTAGAATA